CCTTTTAGAATATACATTACTTAGCGTGTCCCAGCATGGTTTCATGAAAAGCAGGTAGTGCCTGTCTAATCTCTTATGCTACCTTGACCAAGTCACAGAGAGGGTCGAAGAAGGTAGAACAGTGAAGGTATGTTACCTGGATTTCAGTAAGGCTTTCGATTCCGTAAGTCAGATTGCTTCTACACAAGGTACGTTTTTCGGAATCACAGGGGCGGTCTATAATTGGATAGCAGCATTCTTGACGAATAGGACATTTTGCGTCAGGGTAGGAGAGCATATGTCACCAGTCCATCACGTCACTAGTGGCGTGCCACAAGGGTTGATGTTAGGCCCACTTCTTTTTCTGCTGTTCATAAATGATCTAGCAGAAATTAACAGCTAACCTTGCCTCACCTTCGCTGATGATGTAAAGGTGGTTGGATCTAGTGAAAGATCACAATTGGAAGAAGATAATGCGAAGGTGGTCCAGTGGTCCCACACATGGGATCTGCCACTAAATGCAACAAAGAGTCAGTTGCTCTCGAGAACCGGGAAACTATTGAAGACTCTCAGGGACTGGGGGCAATTCCAAGTAGGCACTGTAACCAGTGCCAGGGATCTAGGAGTCATCGTAACTGCAGATAACAGTTGGAGTACCCAATGAGAAGGTGCAGCACACATAGCAAGACGACAGCTGTTTAGACTAGGGTCAGCAGCTTTTTGTAGGAAAGCAGACGTATTTATACACATATACGAAGCCATCGTAAGGCCTCGTCTAGAATATTGCGTTCAGGCTTGGTCGCCCTTCTACAAAAAAGACGAAGCCTGTCTGGAGCGAGTTCAGAGACTGGCAACACGGATGGTTGAGCGTATGGGGGGAAAAACATACAAAGAGAGGTTGTGCGCGCTCGGCCTTTTTCATTAGAAAAAAGGAGATTGCGCGGAGACCTCGTCGAAGTATTCAAGATTAAGAAAAATTTGCCCGGTCTAGATCCTGGGTCCTTCTTCACTGAGGCCCCTCACCGAGGACCGCGTGGGCATGAGCTCCAACTCATGAAACAGCGTTCTAGGCTGAACTTACGAGCACATTTCTTTATTAATAGGGTAGTGGATAATTGGAATAAGCAACCGTCGGAACTGATTATGCAGTCAAGTGTCCAGGCCTTTAAAAAAGCTCTGGACGCCAGACGGTTGGAGCTTTTCCCTGACATACAATGTTAGGTGCGTAAATTGCTTTTGGGTAATATGGAATGCTTCAACAACAAAGGTCTCTCGCCGACACGGCGAGAAGTAAAGTCTCTTTTTCTCTCTGTTTGCAGATAGAAGGAGAAACCTATCAATCGCAGAGGTGGACACACACTCGAGGGCATACCACCGAAGGAATTCTTGACGCGTGATTGGCCTGTGGCCACTATCAGTCCTGTGCAACCTGACCTGACCTGACCTGAACCCTAATTGACTTCTTCCGTAAGTATAAATACCGCAGTTTTATGATGACAATCACTTCCACGCTCATACCAACCATGGCTCAGATTGACTGTACGGTCTTTTTGACCGAATGGTGATAATTTGCTATGGATCCCTGGACGGATTCTTGGGTGACTTCCGTGAATTCCAAAGAGTGACTTGCACTTCCTTCTACGTTTATGCATCAATGACAGCCGAAAGACTGATACGAGAGAGAAAGTTTGGTCGGAAACTGACCCCGTCTGAGGGTTTTTCGTACTATTTCATCAAATATTGCTGTGTACATCATCGAGGGCGAGGCAGCCAGGTATTGATGGCTCTCATTTCTAATGCATTTAACCCGTTTTAGGTTGCAAAATATCGGTTTTCCGGCATTCGTTGGAATTTGCGAGGTCGGGGTGAGTTCCGAGTGATGGAACGTTGTCTGGTGCACAACCATAATTTCCATGTGGTCAGCGGAGTTTTAACATAAGTAATCGTCATCTATCTGGAGAACGGGAAGAGGAAATGTGTACTTTGATGGACACTTTTAGACGTGCTCGCGACCTAAGGGATTTCGCGACACACAGGTTCCAGAGACCCTTAACTACGGCAGATATAAGATCCATACGTCGAAGAAGATTTCATTCGGATTCATATGGCGATGCGGTGAAAGTTAGGGATATGCTGGAGAATCAGGGAGAGGTTAGGATAGGGCTGAACGAAGGCGTCGTTTGTCACATTTATTTTGTTCCTAAGATTATGTTGCACTGCGTCGCCAGGTGTAGTGATGTTTTGTTAGCTGACGCCACACATCAACTAAACTGTGGCGGTTACGTGCTTTGCATGCTATGCTTGTAGACGAAACCGGTTTAGATAGAAGTTTTTTTACGCTATCTTGCCGAATGAGAATGGTGAGAGCTACAGATCTGCTGTGGCAGCCATGCAAGCTGTGCCCAGTCTTCGCACAATGCAAGACTATAGTAGTTGATCGCAGCTTGGCTCAGTACAACGCGTTTTCAGAATATTTTCCGTCCTCTAATATGATATTCTGTTGTTTCTATCTCGTTAAGGATATGAAGAAGAAATGTAACCAGCTATCTTGCATGCCAACGTTCGAAAAGCAGCGCATCTTTCAATGGATGCGGAACATAGTGTGCTTTGATAGTGAGGTATCGTTTCGTGGAGTAGTAGATTAGTTCTATTTCGTATTCGTCGATAATCTTAGGCTGGAAGTTTTAGAATAGGATTTAGAATAGCTTTTGACAGTTATATGGAAGGTGTAGTTCATATGGATGGATTTTGTACGCATTTCTTAACCGAGAATGCGCTCTTATAATAATCAATGATTATTTTATTTTTATGTTAAATTAATTTCCCTTTATGTCTTGTGATTGTCGGCAGCCGCATGGAATCTGACGTAATTTTTAATAAGCGAAATAATGTTTGGGCCACAGATGTCTTCAGTTAGGATTTTTCAGGGCTTTGATAATGAGGATTGATCAAATTACCTTGAGTTTTTTTTAATAAAACCGAGTTTGGATGCTGCGCGCCTACCATAAAGCAGCAGGACCGCATGGATTGCAGCACACCGTGAATTACCTTCTGGCAAATGCTTTAGTGGGACCGGTGACCAAGTTATTTAAGGAGACCATAAACACCTCTGTAATAGAGCCAGCTCCATATTTGAGCAATGACGAAGAGAAATCATCTGGGCCAACGGCGCTCGTGATTTGCGTAGTTTTGAGAAGATGATAGACCTCCTCGTGGGAGACTGGGTCTAAGGTAGAAAGGTGATCTTTGGAGAACATAGAAAGGAGAACATTCGAAAGATAAATGAATGCAGAATTGAGGCTGTCCACGTCAACAGTTTTGATGCTCGTTCGTTTCTTCTGTCCGCAGAGCAATCTGATCCCTTGCCATGACCGTTTTCCATCTGCATCTACCAGAAGCATTCATTTTCCTGACATCTGTCCTGATTTCCAGTGTAAGCCGTTTGACAGTGTGTGTTTGATGCATCTTGAATGCTAGTTCTTTTATTCGCGGAGAGCATAATCTGTCCCTGTGATCGAATACTGTTTCCATAAGACAGCATAGATTGAAAATCGCACCAACTGCTTCTGTAAAATGTTTGACAGAAAAGGGAGACTGTTGATCGGAAAACCATGAAGAGAGGATTGTGACGGATTTCGAAAGCTATAGTACACAATACTTTCTAATTCAATTATCTTACTTTTCTTACCTCTTCTTTCTCTTTTACGAACTCAACATTTACCAGTTGTTTTAACCGGCTTCCTCATTAGCCGCTCGTTATCCTTGCGGTCTCGCTCCGTGAGTTTTTCAATTGTTTGTCGCTCTGTAACTGGGGTCTACGACGGTTTCATAAGTCGCAAATATGTTTTGATATATGACTTTAATAGAAACAAAATTTCAACAGGCGTTCAACTGTTTTCCTACGTGATGGAGATATGGTCAGCTGAGGTCAAGACATTGCGATTCGTATTGAACGTTGTAGGCATTGTCGTTTGAATGATAGCAAGAGATTTCCTAAGGAGATGGAGTCTGTCGGCTGAAAGATTCCGAATTTTCATGTTTATTTGTTGCCCATGAATAAATTCGTGGTAAGCAAACCGAGAGTAAATTTTTGGTCTCAAGTATAGCAGACAGTGTTCGCTAGACGAGGTTGGCGCCTTGAGTTTGAGAGAGAAAATATTAGGATGATTAGTAATAAACTTGTCCAGAAAACAGCATTTCCTCTGGTGGGTGTTAGAGAGAGATCGCATAGACCGAAAGAAGGTAAAGGCACTTGCCAATCCCGCTTCCTGTTCCTTCTGTTGTCAGTGGTTTCCTTGGCTTTTAACACTTCGAGTCAATAATGTTTTCTAAAAGGTAGAATGTTAGTCTACAGTATCAGATCCCTCACAATGTTTCGGAAAGTAAAGCCTAACGAATAACTTTCAACATTCAACTTCAGGAAATACTACTGCCCAGCATTCATCTAGCTGTCTCTCGAAAGTTTCAACACTAATACAGTTGAACACCGCTTCAGGTAATTTATTCCACAGTGGTATAACCCTGCTTGTGAAGAACCTATCGTAGACTTATTCTACAATGACTTCTTTCCAATCTAATTTGATGCCTGCTCTTTCCCCTGGCAAGAACAAACGAGAATAGTTTTTCGAACTTTAGACCCGAAAGCCCTTTGACAATCTTCAATGTCTCTATAAAGTCGCCCCGCATGCGTCTGCGGGTCAGGGAGGACAGGTCCAGGTCCCTCAGTCGTTGGAGATATTCCTTACCTTCCTGACCTGCTACCATTCCAGTTGCTAAACGCTGTACCTTCTCAAGACACCGTTCGTTCTGTTTAAAATAAGGCGCTCATGCTTGTACGCAATTCTTTTTGTAACCTCGTCTAGAAATGCCAGAAGGTTGGTTAGACAGGACCGTTTCTCAACAAATCCATGCTGGGCTTGAATCAGAAGCCTATGTGCCATCAGATAAGAACATATCTGTTTCCTGACTATCCGCTCGAGACACTTGCAGGACACCGAGGTAAAACTTACCGGCCTATAGTTGCAAACGATTCCAGGGCCTGATTTGTGGATGGTTACTACGGTTGCAGTTTTCCAGTTTTCTGGGACCTTGTTATTACTGATGGTCTCCATATATTAGTTAGTCACCGGTCCCGATGGTGGATTTGCTAGAAGCTGAATAACGGTGTGATGCAATTCATCCAGTCCTTCTGCCCTCTGCCTAAATGAGGCGTTGAACTCTCGGCCCATGTCGTTTTCACTGAGGGTGCACTCTGTGAATTGCTTACTTGTTCTAGCCTGGCTGAAATCCACAGTCTGTTCTGCCGTTGGTCGCCGACAACTCTAACGAATGCATTCGACTTTTCCTGGTCGATAGTGGCCATTACGCCTTCCGTTACGTCCAGTGTAATAATAATAATGTATATTTCACGAAGCCCGAGAAGCATGCACATGCGAAGATCATATGAACCCACTTCCTCCTTAGTATTTTTATCGCTTGTACGTATGCGTAAAACGTTTTTGGATCATGCTTTACGTTTTGCGCTAACTTATTCTCATGTTCACTTCGCTTCCCGTTGAAGGGATTGTGGTCTGTTGCGTGCCCTCTTGTAGATCAACCTCGCATCGGCAGTCCGGTACGCCATAAATCGGGCCCAGCATCTCCTCTGGACTACTAGTGTCCGATTTAGCTATGGCTTCCACCACGTTCGTCGTTTCCTGTTGCGTTTCACTTTGAGGGGTGCAATCCTATCGGTCAAGTTGAGCAGTCATACCTTAACGGCAAACCATCGTTCTTCCAACGTTGACTCTGGAGGTAGTGGTACCATATCTAAGTGCTCCACGGCCACTTTCACGGCAGCAACGTTTGTACGCCTATAGCCCCGGTTATGCGAGGCAGTCGGTTTGCTGTGTTTCGTGAGTAATAATAACCTAAGCAGCTCATGATAATTCTTGCCTAGTTGAGCCTTCACTGCTAGTTCACTGATGTCAGATAAAAACCGGGCTATAACTAATTCCAGAACGGAGGCCTTCTGTTGGTTGCGAAACCTTGTGGCCTGCATTATATGCTGAATTTGCGCATGCTCATGAAGCCACGTTAGATATGCTTCTACCTTTGTCCCAACGGGAGCCTCTTCCTCTACCCAGCATATCTCTGGAAGATTGAAGTCACCCTGAATTGGGATCCTTCGGGTCCTCGATAGGGATTCCTGCATTGTAGCAAGTAGTTCCATATCTTATGTGGGTTTCGCCTGGGGTGCGAGATAGACCAGTAGCACTCCTAACGGTCGTCTTCCCAAGAGGATACTACACGCCTTGGTTTGAATATTAGGTGTAGCCAGTTTTACTGTTGAGTCCCATTGAGTGTGAGCGCCTTTGACCAGCAGCAGTAGTACTCCTCCGCCTAGTCTGTCGTCCATTTTATCTTGCCTATAAGTCAAATAGTCTCCGGGCTTCTTTACATCCTGCTCATGCCGCATCCAATTTTCAGTGATAACTATTATCACCTAGTTTTGGGCGCGAGTCGCCAACTCTCCGCATTTTCTCTTAAAACTGCAGGCTTTAGTGTACCACTTTGTGACAGTGTCCACCTCAGCCTTCATATCACTCTTCTCTATTGCTTGGGGGTGGATCCTCGGGCGAATGGCCCGAAAAGCTATTACGCCTTTTTATACGATATTTGCGGGTACCGGGCGATCAGGCTCTGTGAGCGACTAGGCTAAACCCACACAGACTTCGTCATGTCTCTGGGGGTTAACGCAAATGCCTCTCCGAGTCTCTTCGCGGGCGCTCGTTACCTTTTAAGTAGGAATAGTGTTCTACTCAGAGGAGAAGAGTCCTGGATATTCCTAGCTACCACTGTGGCCCAACTAAGGGACGCTGATTTCGCTTTGGCATCAGCGACTTTAGACCCAACCATCATTTTGGTCTTTGGTGGGCCGTCGGCTCTTCTGTTATCGGCTTTCCTCCCGGGGTCTCCAGCTCAATACTGCCTCTGCTTTTCTCCCTTCTGTTATCGCCTTTTGGCCACTGTGGTTTGGGTTTGAGGGGTGTGAACTTGCTCAACGGTGATTCAGCTCCTAAACTGTGTGGAATCACCATACGTTAGCGCGCCCCAATCACTCTTATTCCGTGCGCCATAAAGGAGTTCAATTTACTCAGAATAACTCTGGGTCTCTTTCGTTTCATTATTCCTGTTGCAGAAACAATGGGGATGACGCCCCGCTGGGCGTGATGAACTGTATCAGGGGCGACGTTGTTGTACCCTCTTGTGTTGCTCAAAAGGAATTGTGGGTGCTGGTTTATCTGTACCCCGAGATGATACGTGTATATCGCAAACGGGCGTTCGTACGAATGCAGAACGAAACAATCTACGAAATGAGGGATATTTGCATTTTGTTACTCCGGAGAGATCCGAAAGCCTGAACTGGCATGCCGAAAAGTGAATGCAAACATGGGCTGACCAAAAGAGTTGGCCTTGGTGTGGTGAAACAACGGGATGCAAAGAACTAAGGGTAAATGTAGAACAGTCGTTAGTTAGTGTAACTATCTGAGCTCCCCCTAAAAGGCTATGTCGTTCGCTGCGGTTGGCTAGTCCGAACAAGTGGATCGCTTAAATGGTTGTCACGAAAATATTGGGTATCAAAATTCAAAATAGTTCCGGTTGATGTGGCAGGGGATTTTGATCCACAAGAGAAACGTGGGAAAATGAAAATGTCATGAAAAGCGTCTGCCCCGTTTTGGATTGTCTTCAGAGTAAAGAATCGGAGGACCGTCGCAGCTGGGCAAGAGCCAGTAAAACTCTGACCGGGGCTGTCAAAAAAAAGATCTTTGATAACCCTAATGTCCTGAAGCGGAGGGATACGTGCCACTCTTCTTTGTTGCTGCGTTCTACTAGTCTAAGTTTTCTTTTCGTATTTTGAGGTCGCTGCGTTTTCTTTGCCGAAGATTTCCTCCCGAGTTTTGAGGGAATAAACCGGGAATAGAACGGAAGAAGGAAGGTCAAAGTAGATCTTGTTGGAACTATTTGGTTAGCAGAAAATAAACAATGAAAAGGGCAATGTTTTTGACTGCTTTTATTGTTATTTTATACAGAAAAACATGAACCATGGTGGAAAGCAAATTAAAAAAGACTGAACGATTTGGTTTGTGGGCTTTGAATGCATTTATGAATAAATAGATGAAAGAATCCCTATACATATCGCAGTCAAAATGTGTCTGTACGGTGGTAAGGGTAGAAATGTTCTACAGGGGAAAACCTACAGGTAACTTAAGGACTCTCCCGCTACTAGTGATCCGATAGGGAGGTTCTGGATGAGCTGCCTGCTCACGTTTAACGCCGCGCCCTATTACGCCGGCTTTGTATAAGCGTCGCAGTACCTTATGTGGGCCGCTGTATTGATGTTGCATTGGTGCGCGAACCTCTGCCCTGAGGAAAATGTGTGAGCTTTCAGCTAATAGAGAAGGGAAGGTAGGCTAGGGGTGTTTGTTGACGGGGTGGCTGAATATGCAACTGTTGCATACAACGTACTGAACGAGCAGCATAGTCACCGTAGTTGAACTCACTTGGTTAGGTCGGTCTCATGGACGACGCAAGGTGTTATCCAAAGTCAACTCTGCCATTGTGGACTGGAGATCATCTTTGAAGGCTGATCTGCAACCTGAGAGGACTGAGGGTAAAGACTCCTTCCAGTCTGAGTTTGTCTCCACCGTCAGAGTACTTGTTGGTTGTCTATGAAAACGCTGGACCATCCCGTTAGCTGCCAGTTGGTAGGCGGTCGTCTGGACGCGGAGAATGTCTAGTTGAATAAGTAGTTGTGCAAAAACGCCCTTCAAATGATAACCTTGATTAGTTGTTACCACTGCAAATCAACCGAAGCTGACTATTCAATCCTTTGCGAAGGCTTATGCGTCTGCGTTGCTGGATGCGGAAGACGAAGATGAAGCTACCGGCCACCGGGTGCAATAATCTGTGCAGGTGAGGATATAGATACACCATTTCGATGGGGGCAGGGGTCCCACGACGTCTACGTGTACGTGGTAGAAACCCTCGTCGACTTCGGAGAGCGAACCTAGGGGGCTCTTTATGTGACGAATAATCTAATTACATCGGCANCCATTGGCGAATATTCTTTGTGATGTTATGCCAAACGGAACGATCAGAGATGTTTCACTGGCGCGCAGAAGCCTGGGTGTGACAAGTTGCGTACTGTCTCGAAAACACTTTTGCTTATGGTTGATTGGACTACTGGCCTAGGGTGGCCCAGGGAGACGTCGCAAAAGATCTTGTTGGCTGAGGGCGGATGTGGTACATGATCGATGTGGAGCGTTGACTG